GCCGCGTCCCGCCCGACGCCGTCTCCAGCTGGAACGGCCGCTCCGGCCGCGCCGAGTTCGTCTGCTCCACGCGCGACCGCGGCTGCAACCTGGGCTCCTTCGCCCCCGCGCGCGGCGCCTTCTGCGCCTTCCCCTGGGACGAGCGGGAGCTGCGCAGCGCCGACTTCCAGCTCCTGCTCAACCCCGGCGGCTTCGAGGCGCTCGACTGGGTGCCCACGTCCTTCGGCGACACGCCGCCGGGCGCCGTCGAGGGCTGTCCGCTCACCGACCTCTTCGTGGGCCGCAGCCCCGACGGGCTGGGCAAGGCGTCCAAGGAGCAGCAGGCGCTCTTCGTGGCCGTGGACGGCGAGGAGGTTTGGTACAAGTGGTACGAGGTGCTGGTGGCGCGGCAGGGCGCGGCCGACGTGGCCATCGCCGACGTGTCCTACAACGGCACCGCGGGCGAGGAGAGCGCCGAGGACGCGGAGCTGGCCGCGGTGCCGGCCCGCAACGAGGCCTGCGAGGCGGCCGCACAGTGGGTGAGCCTGGACGAGGCCACCGAGGCGGAGCACGGCTGGAGCGCCGAGCTGCCGGCGCTGGCGGCTACAGTCCTGGGGCCACCACACCACTCCCACATCCAAGAGAAGGAAGCCAAGATCTGGAGCCACCAGGATCATGGGGCCCATCAGTTCTGGTCCAACCACCCCTGTGGGATCTTGGGGATCAGGGAATGTGATCATGGAGTCACCAGGTCATGGGGGTGTCAATGGTCATGGTCCCACCACCCTGTGGGATCTTGGGAATCAGGGAATGGGATCACGGAGCCACCAGGTCATGTGAGACATCAAATATCCATCCTCATCCGTGTTTGAGCCACCTCAGGACAGTCCTGGGGCCACCACACCACTCCCATATCCAGGAGAAGGAAGCCAAGATCTGGAGCCACGAGGCTCATGGGGCCCATCAGTCATGGTCCCACCACCCCTGTGGGATCTCAGGGAGGAGGGAATGGGATCATGGAGCCACCAGGTCATGGGAGACATCAAACATCAGCTCATGTCCATCCTCATCCATGTTTGAACCACCTCAGGACAGTCCTGAGGCCACCACATCGCTCCCAGCTCCAGGAGCAGGGAGCCAAAATCTGGAGCCACCACCCCTGTGGGATATCTGGGATCAGGGAACGGGATCATGGAGCCATGAGGCTCATGGGGCCCATCAGTCATGGTCCCACCACCCCTGTGGGATCTTGGGGATCAGGGAATGGGATCATGGAGCCACCAGGTCATGGGGGTGCCAATGGTCAAGGTCCCACCACCCATGCCCAACGCCCCTGTGGGATCTTGGGGAGCAGGGAATGGGATCATGGAGCCACCAGGTCATGGGAGACATCAAATGTCCATCCTGATCCATGTTTGAGCCCCTCAGGACACTCCTGGGGCCACCACACCTCTCCCATCTCCAGGAGAAGGGAGCCAAGATCTGGAGGCCCCAAGCTCATGGGGGTGTCAATGGTCGTGGTCCCACCACCCCTGTGGGATCTTGGGGAGCAGGGAATGGGATCATGGAGCCACCAGGTGATGGGGGTGTCAATGGTCGTGGTCCCACCACCCCTGCTGGATCTCCAGGAGCAGGGAATGGGATTGTGGAGTCAACCATCAGCTCACATCCATCCTCATCCGTGTTTGACCCAGTTTAGACCAATCCTGGGGACATCAAACATCAGCTCGTGTCCATTCTTATCCAACAGTCCTGGGGCCACCACATCGCTCCCATCTCCAGGAGCAGGGAGCCAAAATCTGGAGCCACCAAGCTCATGGGGGTGTCAATGGTCATGGTCCCACCACCCCTGTGGGATCTTGGGGATCAGGGAATGGGATTGTGGAGCCACCAAGTCATGGGAGACATCAAATGCCCATCCTGATCCATGTTTGAGCCACCTCAGGACACTCCTGGGGCCACCACACCACTCCCATCTCCAGGAGCAGGGAGCCAAAATCTGGAGCCACCAAGCTCCAGATTTGGGGGTGTCAATGGTCATGGTCCCACCACCCCTGTTGGATCTTGGGGAGGAAGGAACGGGATCACGGAGCCACCAAGTCATGGGAGACATCAGATGCCCATCCTGATCCATGTTTGAGCCACCTCAGGACACTCCTGGGGCCACCACACCTCTCCCACCTCCAGCACCACGGAGATCCAACACCTGCACCCACCACCCTCACGGGGCCCCACCACCGCCCCCCGTCCCCCGAACCTCCACCGACGCCCCCCGCCCTCCCTCACTTGTCCCTGGCGGCCGCCCGGGCGTGGATCCGCGCGTGCCGCGCCAGCGAGGACTTGTTGCTGAAGCTCTTGCCGCAGTGGCCGCAGGGGAAGGGCCGCTCGCCCGTGTGCGAGCGCTCGTGCACCGTCAGGTCCGCCAGGTACTTGAAGCTCTTGCCGCAGGCGCGGCAGGGGTAGGGCCGCTCCTGCGTGTGGCTGCGCCGGTGCATGGTCAGGTTGGACTGCTGGCTGAAGCGCTTGCCGCAGGCCGGGCACGGGTACGGCCGCTCGCCCGTGTGCGAGCGCCGGTGCTTGTTGAGGTCCGAGGGGTTGGTGAAGCTCTTGCCGCAGGCGCCGCAGCCGTAGGGCCGCTCGCCGGTGTGCAGCCGCCGGTGCGTGGTCAGCGTGGACAGGTGGCCGAAGCGCTTGCCGCAGGCACCGCAGCCGTACGGCTTCGCGCCCGTGTGCGTCCGCTCGTGGGTCTTCAGGTGGGTCAGGCGGCCGAAGCTCTTCCCGCACTGCCCGCAGGGGTACGGCCGCGCCGACGGGGCCGCGGCCGCGCCGCCAGTGGGGTCTCGCTGGGTTTGGCGCTGGGGGGCTCCTCGCCGGTGGTGGGGCTGGGGAATGGGCGGCTCCCGGGCCGTGGTGGGATCTGCGGGGGGATGAGAGGGTCCGTGGGGGGTTCCCCATGGGGAATGTCCGGCTCCGGCCCCTCCGTGCTCCAGGGGGGGTGGGGAGGGTCCAGCGCCCTCCGCTGACCCCCCAAATCCACCCAGGGGGGGACAGCAGGAGAAGGGTGAGGCGGGACCTCCAATCAGGTGGGGTTAGACCCAAGGGGATGGTCTGGAGCCCAAGGAGATGGTCTGGAGCCCAAGGAGATGGTTTGGAGCCCAAGGAGATGGTTTGGAGCCCAAGGAGATGGTTTGGAGCCCAAGGAGATGGTTTGGAACAGAAGGAGATGGTTTGGAACAGAAGGAGATGGTTTGGAGCCCATTGAGATGGTTTGGAGCCCAAGGAGATGGTTTGGAAAAGAAGGAGATGGTTTGGAGCCCATTGAGATGGTTTGGAGCACAAGGAGATGGTTTGGAGCCCATTGAGATGGTTTGGAGCACAAGGAGATGGTTTGGAAAAGAAGGAGATGGTTTGGAGCCCAAGGAGATGGTTTGGAGCAGAAGGAGATGGTTTGGAGCCCAAGGAGATGGTTTGGAGCAGAAGGAGATGGTTTGGAGCCCACTGAGATGGTTTGGAGCCCAAGGAGATGGTTTGGAGCAGAAGGAGATGGTTTGGACCCAAGGAAACGGTTCTTGACCCCAAAATTTGGTTTTGTCCCAAGGAGATGGTTTTATGCCCAAAGGGATGATTCCTGACCCCAGGATTTGGGTTTTTACCCCAGGATTTGGGTTTTTGACCCAGGATTTGGATTTTTGGTCCATGGAGATGGTTTTTGACCCAGGATTTGGGTTTATTGTCCATGGAGATGGTTTTTGACCCCAAAATTTGGGGTTTTGGTCCATTGATGGTGTTTTTGAACCCAGGATATGGGTTTTTAATCCATTGATGGTGTTTTTGACCCCAAGATTTGGGTTTTTGGCCCACTGTGATAATTTTGACCCCCAGGAGATGATTTCTGGGTCCCACCACCTCCAAGCTCCCCCGGCTCCAGCGGCACCACCCCCGCCCCGTTTTTGGGGTGGCCGAAGGTTTTCCTGCCCCCACCCTGTACCTCCTTCCCGTGGCTTCTCCTCCTCAGCCGCCTCCTCCCGGGGGGGCTCCGACGGGGGGCTCGGGGGGACCCCCAAAGCTCCGGGGTCCTCCTCGTCCCCAGGGGCCACGTCCTCCACCTTCACCCGCACCGTCACCTGGGGGACACGGGGACACGGAGCTGCCCGGGGGACCTGGGCACCCCCAAAAGCTCTAAAAGGGTTTTGGGTGCTGGGGATCCTCAGAGGAGATTTGGGTGCTCAGGACCCCCAAAAGGAGATTTTGGGGCCTGGGAACCCTAAAAGTTGCAGAGGGGATTTGGGTGCTGGGGATCCTCAGAGGAGATTTGGGTGCTCAGGACCCCCAAAAGGAGATTTTGGGGCCTGGGAACCCTAAAAGTTGCAGAGGGGATTTGGGTGCTGGGGATCCCTTGGAGGTTGGGGGGAATTTGGGTGCCTGGGACCCCCCCAGAGGCTCTCAAAATTTTGGGTGCTGGGGGCACCCAAAAGACGCTGAGGGGTTTTGTGTTCCCAGGACCCCCAAAAGATGCTGAGGGGTTTTGGGTTCCCAGGACCCCCAAAAGACGCTGAGGGGTTTTGGGCTCCAGGACCCCCAAAAGAATCTGAGGGGTTTTGGGCTCCCAGGACCCCCAAAATACGCTGAGGGGTTTTGGGTTCCCAAGACCCCCAAAATACGCTGAGGGGTTTTGGTTCCCAGGACCCCCAAAAGACTCTGAGGGGTTTTGGGCTTCCAAGACCCCCAGAGGGGATTTTGGGGCTCAGGACCCCCCAAAACTCCTGAGGGAATTTGGGTGCTGGAGATTCCCAAAGTCCCCAAAAAGGGTCTTGGGTCCCCAGGACCTCAAAAAGCAGCCAAGGGGATTTAGGCACCCATGAATCCCTTTCCAGCCTCAATTTTGGGTTTTTTCCTTGGGAATGAGCTCAGGATCCCACAGCAGGATTGGGCTGGAGTGTAAAGGGGGGATCAATTATTCCCAATGTTGGGGCCAGCACCCCAAAATCTGGAGCTGCTCCCACCTGCTGTCCTGGTGCCCAGGACCCCAAAAGCTCCCAAGGTGATTTAGGCACCCCCTTTCCAGCATCAATTTTCTTTTATTCCTTGGGAATGAGCAGGGATGGGACAAAGTGGGAGGTGAGCAATGATTCCTGATTTAGGGGTGTGCACCCCAAAACCCGGAATTGCCCCCAAAAAGCTGCCAAGGGGACTTAGGCACCCCCTTTCCAGGCTCAATTTGGGGTTTTTTCCTTGGGAATGAGCAGGGATGGATGGAGTAGGTGAGCAATTATTCCCGATCTGGGGGTGAGCACCCCAAAATCTGGAATTGCTCCCACTGGCTGCCCTGGACCCCAAAAAGCTGCCAAGGGGACTTAGGCACCCCCTTTCCAGGCTCAATTTGGGGTTTTTTCCTTGGGAATGAGCAGGGATGGGCTGAAGTGGGAGGAATGTAAGGGGGAGATAATTTACTCCAAATCTGGGGGAATTCCCCCAAATTCCCCTTGGGAACCCCATATCTGGACCCGCTCCCACCTGCTGCCCTGGACCCCAAAAAGCTGCCAAGGGGATTTAGGCACCCCCTTTCCATCCTCAATTTTGTTTTTTTTCCCTTGGGAATGAGCAGGGATGGGTGGAGTAGGTGAGCAATGATTTCCAATTTAGAGGCATGTACCCCAAAATCCGGAATTGCTCCCACTGG